GGGGCGTGAAAAAAAGGAAAATAATAAGTAAAACTCTTGTTAGGACGCGGTTTCTTACGATACCGGAAAAATAAAGTTGCCAGTTAAATTAGCAAATGTTTCGCCAAACTTTTTGTTGTAAGAGAACAAAAAGTTTGTATTACGTAATACCAGGAAAAAAAAAGCATATTGTTTTTGGTAATGTAAACTAGCTGTAACTAATTAAAACTGTTAATGAATTTTTATTAAACTTGTAAAATTTTCGTAACATTATAAGTTTTATACATTTTCAACACAGAACGTGTAGAAAGTAAAGCTAAATTTACTTTGGTAGACGCCAACATCAGTTGCACGGATAGACCTCGTCCGATATAATACCACGACCACACAGAAGACACGTCTCAAGTGGAAGCAATTCCACGCAAAGTCTGATGAATGTGCGTATCTGGATACCTTATTTTACTCCTCTTCCACTTTTCATTCTTATAAGAAAGCATTGGAAGGGGAAGTGTATTAAACGGAGAAGGAGTCGCATAGACAGGGGAAATATTCTCTTTCTGTGATGTCGATTGATGGTAGACTACTTATCTGAAATTGTGGATACCTATGGGCAGCGGTCTCTTCTCTATTTCAGTTCTTCTCTGCTGCTTACCCTTTAGCCACCTAATAACTGTTATTTTGTTATCTTACGATGAAGGAAAGCATGGCGCAACCTGCACATGTAAATAAATTCAAAGACATGTGTGAAGTCGACCTGCACTGAACGTGGTTGACTATATCCTAGTCACCAACTTGGGTAGAATCAGAGCTCTGACACAATTACATGGGTAGGAAATAAACGTACTAATATAGACCACTTCTTTGACTTCATATCTAGATATTTATCCAATATACCGGTGCATATTGTAACGTAGTCTGGTACGGTGAACCAATATTATTTCCAAGTCAAAAGATTATAATACTACGTCCCGACCGCACCTTTCAAAATTTATCGATACGCCGTAACGAGATCTGAACACGAATCTACCATTAGCAGTCATAGACAAGCGACCATAAACAAGCTTTATACGGTGTAGGGTTGCCAGATGCGCGGGGTAAAATTTTACACAATTTTAGGGAAAAAGATTTAACACAAGAAAATAAATTATAGCATGATGGATTTAATGTTTTAAAAGGACTTATATTTTTTAAATGATTTTATATTGAATTTTTCATTCTTTTTAATCTAATCTAAGTTTGATTACTAATTAATGACGTTAGCTCGAGTCATTGCAATATTAAAATTACTTTTACAGAGTAGATATTTGTACTGTAAATCTGTTATTTTTGTACAGTTTAAGTATTTTATACTATCTTTAAATTAGCTATATTATTGACGTCTTTATATATTGTTTGATTTGTCGTATAGTAGACAGTTTCTAGTTTGACAGCACCCCTGCGCAGTAGCCCTATCAGAAATCATCCGTGAAGATAATATCGCTAACTCTAAAAAAAGGCCGCCATGTCATGAGGATTAGCGTTCGAGCCCCCATTGTCAACTATAACAATCGAAACATACCCGTCCCTCTCGCGCACGTGTCGTTTTACACAATACGAAAGAGACGGGCTAACGTCTATTTATTTCCACTTTTCTATAGCATGGGTAATGTGACAGTTTTCGTATGAAATGTTTGTTTGGAATAGCCGACTGAATGGGGACTGGCCGCGACTAGTTTCGAATGAACGCGATGCATTATTTTACTTTTTTTTTAATCCGTGAACGAACGCGCGATTGAAAAGTCTAATAACAATTTGCGCCCCAGCTGAGTTCCGATCTGTTGCATAATAGCTTTTTTATTTCGTACAGTTACAAAATACTTTTTAAAAAAACAAATTTCAAATGAGAATCGAACAACAAATTTTTGTTTCGTTCTATATTTAAATTTAACATTTTATAATTAAATAAAAATATCCTTTTATGCAATTTATTTGGGAGATAGAATCTTTATTGTGGCAACATTACGGTCTTATTACAAGTATGTAAAATATGTAGCTTTTCCCCGCAAATCTGCCCGTAAAAAATAAAAAATAAACTTCAAAGTATCCCATATATTCGTCCCATATCATCCCATATCAAATTTAGTTAAGACTAGCTGTCGCCCGAGACTCCGTCTGCGCGTTATTAAAATACTCCTATTGGTCGCAACGTAATGTTATAAAGCCAAAAGCCTTGCTCTATAAATGGACTGTCCAACAAAAAATATTTTTTCAAATCGGACCAAAAGTTCCTGAGATTTGCGCGTTTAAACAAACTCTTCCGCTTTATAATACCTACTAACAAACATTCCTCCATCTAAACATTCGTTTATATTAAGTAAGAAATAAGATATGTAAACCCAAAATACCTTTCAAATAATATCAGTATAGAAAATAATTTATTCAACAAACCTAGGTATAATAATTTAAACCATTAATCATAGTAAATGTAAAACAAATAAGAAAGCGGGTCATGTTAACAACTAACACAAATGTAATCCTTTAACAAATTATATATAATAATAATTCATTTAAAAACAAACAATATACTTACGTGTCTTTATGAAAGAATTCTTTGATAAATAGCTACGTGTTTTAACTTTCTATATGATAGGTTAAGACGTCAAGCCCGCGCTTTTGTCTGTCAAATGGGCATAGACAAATTGTTGTTTTTTCTACATACTTAGTCGTGTGTAAGACATTTTAGACTGCCATATAAATGTTTGTAGAAAAATGTACGTGAAACAGTAAAGTTATTATTTTATTTAATAATATTACTATAATTTAACAGTAGTAGAGCCCGCTTTAACATCTTCGCACGAATTGGCCCGGCTTGCCCGGTGAAATACCACGACCATACAGAAGATAGGCGTCAAGTGGAAGCTATTCCAAGTACAGTCTGATGAGTGTGCATGCCGGAGGTTTATTTAGTCCTCTTACCCTTCTCACCCTTTTTCTTATAAGGAAATGATGGGAAGTGGAAGTTAACTTTCCGGATGAGAGGATGCATTGGTAGGGAAAATATTTTGTTTCTGTGCATCCTCTCCTCTGTCGATTAAAGTTAGGCAACGCATATGCAATTGCGCATGTCTATGGGCAACGGTCACTTCACTATTTCAGCGATTTCAGTTGGCCGCTCTCTCGTTTGCCACCTTATGATATAAAAAAATAATAATATTATAAATGCGAATGTATACATATTTGTTTAATCTCCAAAACTTTTGCATGGATCTTGCTGACATTTGACATAGATGTATTACATTATCTGAAAGAACACATAGGATACTACGCTCATATACTCTATTATCTATCTATCATATCTAATTTTTTTTTAAATATTAGCACATTTTTGTAAATTTACTAATATTCCTTGTACCATTCCAACTAAGCTCTAGGCTTGTGCTAGGATGTAGTTTACGATAATAGTCGAATGGCGGGATTCGAACTTCCGACCTCATGATCGGAAATCCCCTTAACCATTAGGCTATTGGCGCTTAAAATTTATCAACATATCAAACAGTTTGAGAACCATGGTCGGTATAAATAATAAAATCAAAGGTCCGTATCACAGAAGCTAAGTGCCTATTACCATAATTATTAATAGTACAAATTATAAAAGCAATAAATTCATTCGTTTGAACCGACCGTTATACTGATAGGTGGTAAACAGATGCGTTAAATTATACAAATACTAGCTGTCGCCCGCGACATCGTCCGCGCCGAGTTAAAAAAACTTTGTTTCGGACTATGTTCTACATCTATGACAATTTTCAGCGAGATACATACAGCATTTCAAATTAATATATTAGCTATATATTAATCAAATCATACTTCTTACTAATACTATAAATGCGAATGTTTGGATGGAATTTTTTTTTCGATATGTCACCGGAACAGCTCAACGGATTTTTGATGAAATTTGGCACACTAGAACATAGTCTGGAAGAACACATAGACTTATTAGTGTATTTAATTCCGCGCAGACGGAGTCGCGGACTACAGCTAGTTGACTATAACTGGCAGCTGACACTAAAGTGCCTTTGCCTGAACGCACATAAAAACAAAACTTGGTTGTCTATGGCCGACATTAACATATTAATTTCCGCATTCACACGTTGCCGACGGCGCGACTAGTTCGTTTATACTAATGAGAAAATATAATTTATTACTCACTAAATTGTACAATGCAGTTACAATTGTGGCATTAAGCATTTTTATATGCATTCTAGACACATACTTTCCCAAAGAAACATCGCTATAAGACAGGATAGACAACTGCCTCAAAGTAGAGAATCAAACAAAATACTAAGATGAATATAATCCCTTTAAATCCGCATAGATAACTCAAAAACTACTTTTTAGTATTGCGATATATAAACACAGCTAAACACTCACGTATGTTCGTCTGGATGCGGCACCGACTAGTTTCAAGCCCATCGGGGGCCCTTTATCAGGATGAGTGGTACTGGTATTATTTCGCGGACGAGGCCCGTCCGGATGGGCTCGAAACTAGTCGGTGCCGCATCCAGACTAATATACGTGATTGTTTAGCCGTGTTTATATATCAATTTAGTATAATGTCTCACTAAAGTTTGAGTATTTTTTTAGTATTTCATTAAAAATTAACCTCGCCCCGAAATCTAACCTAGATCATCGATTTGTAATGGTTATGTAGTCTGAACAGATTGACTTATTTTGTAGAGAGTTGTCATTCGACATTCCTTTGTTTTTTCGATAACAATTTTTGCACAAGCTGTCGCCCGCGACTTCATCCGTGCGCAATAAAAAAAAACATCTCTACATCTATGACAAATTTTAGCGAGATCTATGCAAACGTTCCGGAGATACCTTCAAACAAACATCCATCCAAACATTCGTTTATAATATGTTTTGATATTTAACCTTTCAGAAATTTCATTCAATTGTTATTAATAGAAGATACCCATTAAAAGTAAAGTCTCGATTATAAAGAGAATATGTTAAGTAATCATTTAATTTAATTTCAGGTGTAAACCCGCGTAAACAACGTCGGGAGCGAACGACTTTCACCAGAGCGCAACTAGATGTACTGGAAGCGTTATTCGGCAAGACGAGATATCCAGATATATTTATGCGGGAGGAAGTCGCTTTGAAGATAAATCTACCTGAATCCAGAGTACAAGTAAGTTGTTTCTAGTGAACATCATCAGCTCACTATACGTCCCCACTGACCTCGGAGTCTACCCTAAGTTAGTAACTAGGCCTCAGTCACTGCTGGCCCAGTGCGGGTTGACTTCACGCATATCTTTGATATCTTCCCAGATATGTGCATCACGATGTTTTCCTTCAACGTAAGAACGTCCCAAAAAAAACATTGTTACATGGCAGGATTTGAACCCACGACCTGCAGATTACAAGGGTTAACCACTGAGCCACCGATGCTCTCGTTTCTATTCCATTTCAATGTAAACATTCACAACAAGCTTCTATTTCTGATTATTCGTATTTTTACGAAGAGAAATAAAAAACTGTAATGTCAATCAAATAAGTTCTAATCTGAATTCTTATAATCTATGTCTTAAAGGACAATCGTCATTCTATTATTCCCTTACTCTTTGAAGTTCGAAATTTAAACATCAAATGACGGGATCTCCCATAACGACACGGGCATTGGCGCGCAATCGAATTACGCGTTCCAAATTTGAAAATCGAATCATCCAATCCGCTCCATTGTTTGACAGGCGCTTTATCCAATACGGAAAAAGAAATCCCTTTTTGAACATGTTTCAGCAATTTTACATCGTAAAAAAATTAAATTATACTTTTTTAAGACTTTTATTATTAATGGTGACTCCTATAATTCATCTTTGCATTTAACTTTATTTTCCTTTTAACAAAATCACATCTTACTAATATTATAAACGCGAATGTTTGGATGGATGTTTGTATATCGAAAGCGGCTGTATGAATCTCGTTGAAATTTGGCATAGTTGTAAAACATACTTTGATAGAACACATAGGCTACTAATTAACTTTTAATACTGCGCAGAAGTCGCGGGCGATAACTAGTGATTTAATAAAATGGCGTCTTAATGTTCCGCAAAACTGCAACATGTTTGCTTTAATTTCAAACGTGCTTTCCCTCTTCGAAAAATGTAACTTCGTTCCGCTTCGTGATAATTTCAGTCTTATGCATTATTTAGCGTAAAAATGATCTACGGCCGCGATGCCGCGAAATAAATTAAAAAAACAAAAACCGTATCCGTATTCTTAATTTAAAAAATTCATGTTGCGAATAATTATAGCATTTAACTTCGTTTTATAGCAGTTATAAATCGTTAATTAGCAAGTTAAAAGTAACCTGTTACTATGGTTTTTTCTTATATCTATACCAATGATCTCTTAGTTCCCTTCGTAGTTTTTTTTTATGTCGACAAAGTGAAAGATTTATCTGATAAACTTTAGAGTCGGTACTAATTGAATAATGCAGATGTTCGCCGCGATAACATTAAGAGGCGCTAGTGTGTTGATAATTTATTTTATTATCTGCATTCCGTGTTTAATGTGTTTCTTGAGCAATGAGGAACAAATTTACACAGATTATAACCATAGATGTGTATCAGCAAATAGTCGAAACGACCTTAAGTTTTTTGATGTTGTTGTTAAGAACATTTGAGAGTTATATGAGCCGTCAAATTTATTTTGTATGCAGATTTTATTAGGAAAACAAAAATAAAATTTTCCACCTTCAATTTTTCAATATTCTGTTGTGCTATGGAAAAATTTATATAATATATCTTCTGTATTTTTATACAGTACTAGCTGTCGACCGCGACTCCGTCCGCATGGATATATAAAAAAACTTAATGTACAGATAAGTTAAATAAAAAGCAGCTCTTCAAGGCATAAATTCGAAAAAAAAAATGAATAAATAGTATCCCATGTCAGTCTCCTGGCTCTAAGATACCTCCACACCAATTTTCAGCCATATCGGTAAAGTTCTTGTTCTTCATGCGTTCTTGAGTTATAAATAGTTTAACACGACTTTCTTTTATATATATATACTAGCGGACCCGACAGACGTTGTCCTGTCTACACGTCTTTAATTTGAACAAATTAATATGAAGTTAATATTTGATGAAAATTGTGAATCTAAACCATTCCCACATCCCCTTGAACACACACAAGAAATTTCATCAAAATCGGTCCAGTCGTTTGAGAGAAGTTCAGTGACATACACACTCACAGAAGAGTTATATATATAAAGATTAGTTAGAATCATTTGGCGCGAATGGCGCGCTTTTGTTACAAAGTCCAGTGTCAGAATGAATAGTGAGGGGACACAAACGTCGACATTTTAGTAAGGCTAGTGTTATAAAAAAAAACTTCATTCATACTTCATCGACGATAATTGTCATTATTTTTATCTCCAATAAGAATTTCTTTCTGTAAATTTACTCTAAAGTACTAGTTGTTTCAGAATTTTCCTAACTGAGAATCGAACACATTGACTTTTACAAACCTAACACCCCTCTGACTTGCATTTGTTACCTCCGTGCCGCAACGCACCCGTTGCGGATTACGCCCCCCACCGCGCTCGCCCCCTTTGTACCTCATCAATGACTTAATATGTTTTATGAAAAAGAGCAAGTATAAATATAACAGATGCCATATCCAGAGAATTAGTAAAACGAAACAATGAATGTTGAATGCGTTTCATTTTTTTTGATCTTTGAGCTTTTTTACTCTTTGAACTTTTTTACTCTATGACATTCGGCGGGAATATCAGTTGACGTTTGCGCAATAGGTTATGCGATAGTAATTTTAACCTAAATATAAGAACTGATTATGGGCAGCTAAGATATTAATAAGTTAAATATATTTTTATATCCGGAATAGTTCTTAATGCATGTTATTGCCGTGTCCAAATCGAACCCCTAGCTTCGACAAATAAATCATACTGTAAGCCAACAAGCAAACATGGCGTGGTATTATGAACGGTAGCTTTTCATCGCTTATATTCGTCTATGATTTATATGCTACCAACTGCCATATTTGTAGTCAATAGGACGAAGAATTAAGTTTAACATCTTCGCACGAATTGGCCCGGCTCGTCCGGTGAAATACCACGACCACACAGAAGATAGGCGTGAAGTGGAAGCAATTCCGCGTTTCGTCTGATGAGTGTGCGTCCCGAAGGCCTAATTTAGTCCTCTTTCCCTTCCCACCCTTTTTCTTATAAGGAAAGGATGGAAAATGGAAGTGGACTTTCCGGATGAGAGGATGCATAGGAAGGAAAAAATATTTTTTTTCTGTGCCTCCTCTCCTCTGTCGATTAAAGGTAGGCAACGCATATGCATTTGCGTATGTCTATGGGCAACGGTCACTTCGCTATTTCAGCGATTTCAGGTGGCCGCTCGCTCGTTTGCCACCTTATGATATAAAAAATAAGTATTAATATACTCCTTTTTCACCAGGTTTGGTTCAAAAACCGAAGAGCGAAATGTCGACAACAATTACAGCAGCAATCAAACACGCAAATGTCAAGCAAATCCTCATCCAGTTCCAAATCCTCACTCTCCACCAGTTCCAATATAAAAAGTTCCTCCAACACCTCCAAGACACCTTCATCTAAAGCACCACACTCATCCAGCACCACCACAAACTCTTCCAGCATCACAACATCGTCCCCAAACCTTCCGATCACACCGACAACATCAGTCAGCCCACCAATCAATGTTATATGTAAAAAAGAATCAGCAAACTACGAAACATCTCCATTAACGAAGAATAACCTTTCAATCACACACCAATATAACACAGAAGCAATACGACTCAGCGGTAAAGAATCTTCACCATCAGAGAACATCAACGTCCATGGATACGGAGTAACTCCAAAACAAGAGCTGTACAGTAGCCCTAAAAGACTGGATTACAGCAGCAAAATTGATTATACGGAAAAGTCTTTTGGTAGTAACTTGGTGAAAGACCAATATAGCTCCCGTCTGACAGGGAACCTCACACCTTTAGGTTCCAACTCCTCGATTATGACGACCCCGTCTCCCCCCATAACGCCACAAAGTATCAATGGACCTGGAAATGTTTACCATCCGGATTACAACAGTTTTCATTGGCCTGGCAGTTCTGATTACATTCGAAGTTATTCTACGTCACATCATCATCAAGGATATGGACAAAGCGCGTATAATTCACCATATTATCCTAGCCAGGTGAGGTTTGTTCGATTATTTTGCATCTTAAAATCATCTAGGAGTCAAATATATATTTTTTTCAAAATAATTTATCACATTATATATTTATAGCATTAACTATACATTGTTTAATTTTTTTTTAATTGACACATCATATGGCCTTGTCAACTATGTGTAAATAAGCTAAGGTTAAGCTATTAAAGTCATGATAAATCTTACTTATATTTAAATGCGAGTGTTTGGATGGATGTTTGTTAGAATGGTCTCTAGAACGGCTGCATGGATCTCGCCAAGACTTGGCATAGATGTAAAACATAGTCTGGAAGAACATATAGGCTTAAAAGTGTTTTTTTTTTAATTCCACCCAGTCGGAGTCGCAGGCTAGTCATGAAATAAAACTGTTTGTTTTCCAACAGATGGAGTATTTCAATGGTTCATCAGTGAACCAATCACACGGCAGTCACCATGGACACAATTTAACTGCAAACGGGAACCAGCTGTACAACCAAGTCTCTTTCGGCAACCCCTCCCCGCCCGCAGCGTGGCCCTCACACAACATCCTCTCCTCAGGACCCGAGTCCCCGGAGAACCAGGCCCAAAATTCCCCCCATCTCAGCATGCTCCAAGCATCCCAAATCACAAACTTCTCCAATTCTGGCAACACTTACTTCGCCCCCGAAAAGTACGGAATAAACATGGTGTAGTGTTTCTAGTCCTTCTTATTTAGATTCTTTGTAAATATAATTTGTTTAAAAAAAACTTGGGTGTGCGATTGAACATTGGCTGAATTACTGTACATCTATTCGCTTCTGTACTTTTTAAAAATATAACTGTCATTGTCTATGGTAACAAATGTCATTATTCGAAATTGCATTCGATTTTCAAACGCTTCTGACATTTCGTGTTACTTTCGCGCTAATCCAAGCGGCGAAATGTCAAATTTGTGTGAAAATCTTATGGAATTTTGACGTAAATACATATCAAAATGATTATTTTATAAACGAAGCGAATATATTTATTAGTAATTCGACTAATTTTTAGAATGAATTGATGTTAATCAAACATTTGGTCTTTTGTTATTTTAAATTGAATATTCGGACGAAACTTGAAATTATTCTTTTGTACTTTCTAATGGCAATATTCATATTTTACTTGAAAAACGGATTGATTTCTTGATCCGTCTGATTTTTTAATTTATAATCACTAAAACAAGACCTATATTTCCTTTTTCGTAAACGAAAATCAACGAATTTTGTTTAAAAAAAAAACTATTATAATGGCCTATTCTTAAAACGAACTTTTACTTCGCCATATTTAATAATGTAGATGTAAAGATTTTTATTTTTATTGCTTCCTAAAAATCTAAAATCCCCGAGTCATATCACATATATTTAAACTATAATTAAGATACATTGAGGGTCATTTTCACGATATGTTTATATCTAAAAAAATATATGACACAATTTTATATATAATTTAAAAATATAGTACTTTAAAATGAAACGTCAAAATTGGCGGGTAAAAATTCTGACGTAATTTATTTTATTTTTAATATGAAAATAAATTACATCAAATATCAAACCAGAATCAATAATAAGTAAAAACTATATTTAAAATACAATTAAAATCATAAAATAGTAATAAAATATGGCTGATGATAAACGTATGACGTTTGTTTTTTTAATTCCACACTCGAGGCAAAGGTAAACGCAGTCATACGGCCTTAGTGAAAATCGATCCTCGTCACGACGTTCGCCTGCAACGCGTTAATATAGTTAATAATTGTAAATAATGTGTTTTAAGTAAGTTTAATTTTAAATTAAATAAAAAAAAGAAATTTTTGTAAATGTGTGTGCTACATGTATATGTGACTTAAATTGTTTAGTTCTAAGATTCTAATAATTGTTAAGGAATTCCGATTGACACTGTGATCAAAAATATCCCAATGTTATCGTTGTACAGTTGTATAAATAAATTATGATTTAAAATGGATTTTATAATCTGCCGGGAATCTGACCAATGAGAATGGAGACGTTCGCTGATTGGTCGATTTACTTTTGTAATTTTTAAATGCGTTCCAAATTTGAACGTGTTTGACAGCAATAGTTTAAAAATAAAAATTATGGAATATGGAATGAAATTTTTCTTTTATTTTTTTATTTTCGTTTATTTTCAAAGAGATTATTAGTTTAAATATTTAATTTGATAAATTGTAGGAATATTTGAATGTAACGAAATTTGTAATTTATAGTAATGTTAAGCTTGGAGATAGCTAAGTTAGTTACTATTAAGTACAATCACTGTACGATATGCGTTTGACAAATGTCAGTGTATTTTTTTTTAAGTTAAATTGTATTAATTATTAGCTATTGAATTATTGAATCCGAATATATGCATACAAAATACAAAAACTAATTTGTTTCATTTAACACCAAATATAATCTTACTTAAACATAGAGATGGAAAGATGACTTACCGAAGGGGTGGAGAAGATAAGCCCGGGACAAAGAACTAAGGAAAAATCTGGGGGAAGCCTATGTCGAAGGACATCCTGACAAAGCAACTGGAAGCTGAAAACAAAGCTATAACTCTATTTAAAAAAAAAAGAAGTTTAAGTTCATGTAAAAAGAAACGATGATGAAAAGGTCAGCGAATAAAGGTTCATCTTATCTTATCTATAATCTTACTATCCTACTAATATTATAAATGCGAATGTTAGGATGGATGTTTGTTTGAAGGCTAAACGGATCTTGATGAAATGGCACAGATGTAGATCATAGTCTGGAAAAACTCAAGCTTCAAATTTTTTTTTTCAATTCAGCGCGGACGGAGTCGCGGGCGACAGTTAGCATTAATTAAATGTAAAACATTAACGAATCTTTACAATCATAGAAATATTTAAAACGAATTTCCAAAATAACTGCAGTCAAAAATCGTTTATAAACTCACTACTATGATTAAAAGTAAAATTTTATTTACTTTTAATCATTAAATACGTCCCTTAATGTTAAGTGTATCACTAATTATAATTTAATTACATCACAGTAAATCACAACAATAAACAACATTGTAAAAATTAAAGAATCTATATTTATACAAAGGATTTTTATTAGTTAACCTCAAAAACACAAGTCAAACTTGTCAATAGTATGGAAGCTTGATTGACGACAAATTACGTCAGTGCAAAACGGATCGAAGCTTACCCACGTGCAATAATCTTATAAAAATTAGTTTACGTTGCATTCTACAATAAAACTTATCAAAGATTAATGTAATAGTGCTAAAAAAAGAGTTATTTCTGTTATCCTGCAAGATATATTCAGAAAAAGATTAACTCCGTGAACAAACATCGACCAAAGGCAAAACCACGTAAGACCATCTTTCCGATTAATATTTTAGCTTTTAAAAATTATTTAATTATTCTAAACTAGCAAAGAATATTATCAAACTCATGAAAGCAAATTAGGTGTGTAATTTTCTTTAATTCTCCTATTAAAATCAATATAAATATATTCCATTTTGTTATTTAATTATGAATATTTTTGTTTCTTGTCAAATTACCATAGACAATAAAGTTGTCAGTTAAAAGACATTTTAAATATCATACACAGAGTGTTACTAATTTAATAATTACGTAAGAAAACAAAGGAATCCTAACATTCTATTTGGCTTCCACTTACACTATACACTTCAACCATAGATTTCAACCAACTGTGTCCTGCAACACCATCCACGTAAAATTTAAAAAAAAATCGTAACTGCAATAGATCAAAAGACATGTAATTTGCTTTCGTAATGCAATAATTCTGCTTCTTGGCTATACTTAAAATGGCTGCAAATCGAATTGAAACGCCACATTGAATGCACAGACGATCCTTTTGATAAATTCAATTTCTTATTTCATTCGTCAGCCAAATCTATAAGAAAAATACTTAAATAATTCTCTATTAAAAGTACTATTTCTTATAGGTTAACTAGCTGTATTCCGCAAGTCCGTTCGCGCGGAATTAAAACCTAATTAGTAGCCTATGTGTTCTTCCAGACTATGTTCTACGTCTGTAGCAAATTTCATCAAGATCCGATGAGCCGTTCCAGAGGTACCTTCTAACAAACATCCATCCATCTAAACATTCGCATTTATAATATTAGTAAGATAAGATAGACACCTATTCTTGTTATATATAAAATTCTCGTGTCACAATTTTCGTTCCCATACTACTCCGAAACGGCTTGACCGATTCTCATAGAATTTTGTGAGCATATTGAGTAGGTCTGAGATTCAGCCAACATCTATTTTTCATCCCCCTAAATGTTAAGGGTCCACCCCAAATTTTTATTTTTATTTTTTAGACAAAATTTTTAGTTTTTATTTTGCTCTATCTCTATTTCAGCTAGTTTTGGTATAAATTTTCTCAGTGTTGTCATGTATATAACAAAATTACATTTCTTGGTTATTCTTTGGTTATATTTTCTATCATAAAATGTGGTTTTCTTATCAAAAAGTTCCTAGGTAATATAAACGTTGGATTAGAGTCGTTTTTCCATACAATAGATGTTTTATAATATTACAGTCGGGACATGTCCTGCAGACAGTTTCAGTATCGGGTAACGCGGCGTCGCGTCGCCAGGGCGTACTCTGTTACCATGTTATAAAGCGTTTAACGGACAATCCCGATTTAAATCAACCCTCAATCGAATGATTGCCTTCTTAATAATATTATAAATATGAATGTTTAGATGGATGTTTGTTAGAAGGTATCTTTAGAACGGTTGTATGGATCTCGCTGAAATTTGGCATTAATGTAGAACATACTTTGGAAGAACACATAAGCTACTAATTAAGTTATATATAATTCCATGCTGATGGTGTCGCGGGAAATAGCTAGTTTATCAGTAAAGCAAATGGGAAAATGAAAAAGTTGTTATTAGAAAATCTTATCATTTTTAGAATAGTCTCGTGCTATCGTCTAGATTTCGATCTGATAATATTTTATTACCTGTCTCATCTTTTACTCTCTTTCTTTCTCTTTTTGGTTTTATATTTTATGCTTCTACGTAGTTTTGAAGAATAAAGTTGTCATAGAAAGAAACAATTTTATTTATATTGGAAATCAAAGTCAATGATCACGAAATTTTCGATTTCAAGTTCTATGAGAACAACAATCGAAGATCGAATATTTTCATAACCGATTTTAATCAATCCATCTCTAGTGAATTGTCAAACTAATCTTATATCTTTAAATGAGCAATTCTTGTGTATATATATATAATTGGAATCTCGGAATCGGCTCCAACGATTTTCATAAAATTTAATATATAGTGTGTTTCGTGGGCGATAAATCGATCTAGCTAGGAATCATTTTTAGAAAATGTCATTTTATTCGTGTTTTATCGATAATCAACTTAAACATAAACTTAACTTTTTCTATCGGTAAGATCGAAAAATATTATTCATATTTCATCATTTTATTAGTAATTCGTACTTAAATATAATTTCCAAAAAACACTATTTAAAAAAAACCGAGCAAAGCTGCGGTCATCTAGGTACTCTATCTTAAATAGACACACTATAAAAGAAAATCTAATATCGGGTAATCTCCAGAACGAGTGGACCGATTCTGACGGGACTTTAACTGGAAAGTAGCTGAATGTAATTTGGACATATTATAGGTTAAACTGATATATAAGCACAGCTAAACACTCACGTA